CAAGCCTTTTTAAATCACTTTGCATATATTCATTTCACTGCCATATGGCCAAGCCTTTTTAAATCACTTTGCATATATTCATTTCACTGCCATATTGCCAAGCCTTTTTGGATCACTTTGCACATGTTCATTTCACTGCCATATTGCTAAGCCTTTTTAAATCACTTTGCATATGTTCATTTCACTGCCATATTGCCAAGGCTTTTTGGATCACTTTGCATATATTCATTTCACTGCCATATCGAATATATTCATTTCACTGCCATATCGTCAAGCATCTTCCAAGAAATATCCAGCCAAATCACTTCTTTGAAGTTTGCTCTTCTCCTTGACCATCTCACCTTTTCTTATTATCGGATACAATTTGGATTGCAATTGAGTGCGTGCGGTTGCCTCCAATTTGCTTGGCCTAACTACTTGGATTACCGGTACCCACTTTTTTCGATTTCTTCCATTGAACTTGCAGGTACACTATCTATTAAGATCTTCAATCATGAGTATGCGCATTTATGTTATTTTTAAAATATGTATTAAATGAAAAATATTTAATTTTCTGTGGAAGAATAACTTTATTTTTAATATTTTTTGTTAGATTCCTCATTTTCAACTTGTTTCTTAGCAAATTGTTAGATTCTTTTATCTTTAGATTTCTTTTTACCTAATTAATATGTAGTTACTTAACAAATCTTATGAGTACTTCTTTTGTTGATCATATTTGAACCATATTCTAATCTATATATATATATAATGCTATTTTATGCATTAAATAGGGTATGCATTTATATATATATATAATACATAATAATATTATATAATATATTTTTGTTTATTATTTATTATATAATTATATACTAATTAATTTTTCAATAGTAAATGGAAAAATAAATTAATTAGCCTTAAAATTTGTCATTTAATTTCAATTATAAAAGAATACATTATGTAAATAAATCTATTTAATAATGAATTCAACCCTTTTATCTTCTCATATTCTTTGTCTTCTACTTCTTATCTTTATATCCTTAATTATTTTATCATTATTAATTTTCATCACATACATAATATAATGTAATGTAATGCATTCAAATGAATAAAAATGAATAGATGCTTAAAATTTATGAAAAATAAATGTATAAGATTCTAAAGCATGACATAATAAATATTTGTGCGGTTATAATTTTCTCTAGCCTTTTGATTTTCTTCTTTTTCATGTACAATACCCTTCCATCTTCCTATTTAGCTATATATAAACCCTCATTTTTCTCTACACCAATATATTATATTCTCCTCTTCATCTCTTCAATTTCATTTTATTAATATGGTGAGTTCCAAATATTTATTTTTTGTTTTCTATTTCATATTATATGTAAATATAATATTATGTTTTTATTTTATATATCTTTTTTCATCTTAGTTCAAAATATATATATTGTTGTATAAACTATTTTCCTTATTAGTTTTATTATTTTTTTATGAATTTTTTTATAGAAGATACAATAATTGTTTTTTTGAAAGAATTTTATAATTTTATATATTTGAAATTTATGTATTCTTTTCTTTTTAGATTATTAATGTTTCAATTTTTTTTTTTGAATGTGTGGTAAGGACAAAACTTTATTCAAGGGATTGAAGAAAATGTTTGAATTTGATAAATGTCGAGTTATACGAAAATATTGCATTTTTTTATAAGATATTTTTTTTTTGTTTTATTCATATTATATTATTATTAACTTTTTGATTATTTGGGAATGTGCATTTAATTGCACTAAAATCTCATTTAAATATTTTTTTTGTAACTTTAATTTGAGCATTTATATTAATATATTAAAATAGTTTATAATATAAGTTAAAGGAATAAAATAAGAATGGAAAAAAATGATAAGAAATTGGAAATGAGAAAAGGGACAAGAAAAATAACCATAAAACAAAATTTTACAAGTTAAGTAATTATACAAAAAAGAGTTGGTAAAGACTAATGTAAAAAAAAAATGACAATTGTTAAAGTATGATTTTTTATTAAAATAATAATTGATATTTTTTAACTTCAATTTTAAAGAACTATGAATTTGATTAAATAAGAAATGAAAATAACTAAAGAAGATGAAAAAAAAAAATAAAAGTATAAAAAAAAATTATCTGATTATTAGGCTAACAACTAATAAAACTTATATATTAAAAAAATCAAAAGGCAAAAAATTCTTAAATTAACAGTCTACATTTATATCTATATTTTTATCTATCTATCTATGTCTATCTATTATATAAAATGTTATACTTAAATATTAATTCGGCACTAAAATTTGTCATTAATTTTTATTTTAATTATAAAAAATATATTTTTTAAAAGTTAAAAAGAAAATATAGTATTTTGCATTCAAATATAATAAATATATGTATTAATAATATTAGTTTTACTTTTTTATCGTCTTATCTTCTTCTCTTTCACTTCCGCTTCTCTTCTTAATATTTTCAATTATTTTACTATTATTAGCTTTCATTACATATATAATGAATGAATTAAATCAAAGGAAGATGAATACATGTTTGATTTTTATGGAGAACAAAAAAATATTATTACAATTTCATTTATTATCATTTATAACACTATTATAACACTTTCAATCATTATTTATTTTTATTATTTTTAATTTTTTTTCACCTCATGCCTTTTTTTTTTTGGTTGGAAAAAAATGTGCATGAGGAAGTGAGATCTAAAAAAGCTTGGCAAAGAAGAAAATTTTTGTATAAATTGTTTAATTTTATTTCACGTAGAATTTTTTTGTTCTATCAAAAATATTTTTTAAAAAATAATAGGATATATATAAATACGTATTTATTTTGAATGTAAACATACAAAAAAATGTTGTGATGATGATGCAAAATAAGTCTTTTGATGAATAAATTACTAATATGAAGAATTTGAGAAGTATCCATACTAATTCATTGATCTTTATAAATGTTAAAATCAATAAAAAAAATTTGATTCTTTTTTATTTATTTATTTTAGATTACATATATATATGCTTTATTTCTATTTTTCTTAACATGTATTTTGAAATTGCTATTTAATAATAATAATAATAAT